ACTGCTGCAGATCACCGAGAAGCAAAGCGTGAAGCAGATTCGCGAGTGAGCGCTGTGGCAGAAGGAAAGCGGCCCGCTCCCGGACGAACGAGACCCGGGGACGAGCACCGTTCTCGGCCGCGCGAACGCGCCAGGCTGTCAAGATGGATTGGGAGTTATTGACGATGGCGAGTCTGCATCTGACCGCGACTGAGCACCGTTATTACGGCGATATATTCATCTACTGCTGCGAGAACGCGGACAACGACAGCGTTCCCGTGATCAAAGTCGCCGAGTTGTTGCGCTCGGCTAACCTGCCGCGGGACGTCACGATGAAGGTGAGCTCCGTGGCATGATGGAAGTGCGACATTGACGATTCCCTGATATCAATGTAGCGTCGTAACAGACTTCATCTCAGTATTCGAGAGCTTCTTGTACTGAGGTGACATATGTGCAGATGGACAGACGAAACATTAGGGTCCGCTTGTGGAGGTTATGTCGTAGCAGTTGAACCGATTAAATTCGTCGATGAAAAATATCATTACTTTTGCTTTCCATAATCATTTATAGCTGGCTGTAGCTTTGTGAGGATTCTTCCTGTATGATACGGACTTCCAAGGGATGTCTTAAGGATGTCTAGATATGTCTCTATGTTCTTTGAACATCCTAAAGATTATGTGTTTCTTGTAATGTAACTAATGTATACGTTAGTTGCAATGTAAAGTAAGCTGCTATCGTTGCTATTAGATAGTTGTTAGAAAGGAAGATAAAGAAAAAAGAAAGAGAAGCATTCCATAGATACTCGGTTGTATATAGCTATATATATATTGTTAACATCAAGTATATATTTTTTTTCTGCTTGTAGATCTTGGACATCTGCATGGGAACCAAAGGTAACACGCATCTGGGCAAGAAGCAATTCTATGCAGTGCTGAAACTCATTGCGGTTCACCAGGCTGGTCTGGAGGTCTCCAGAGATATGATAACTGCATCTTTGGATGTTATTACTTTGCCAAGATTTACATGGCCAACCTCCGGTGATGAGGAAGGCAGAAGGAGTCCAGACATAACTAGAGGAGCAAAGAGTAGACATCATGCCCCTGAGAGCACTACCGAAAGTGAAAGCGAAGCAGAATCCCCACGTGAGACTGGTGGTAGCACAGATTCTCCTACACCGACAAACAGCGTGACTCAAGAGAGAAATGACGGTATGCTGGGTGGCGAGACAATCCTGGATTCTGTTTCCGGAGGTTGGCAAGGCTTACTAGTTTCTGAAGAGCAGAGACAACTGTTAGGCACTGAAGAGGAGAGCTCGGAGCGTCACAGCAGCGACGAAGGTGATGGGGAAGGTGATGGCTCTGGTTTTCCACCGGAGGAAGTATGGATTATCAGCGACGAGCAGCGTGATTATTACGCTGCGCAATTCGCGCAGCTGCAGCCTGATCCGGAGGGTCTTCTAGCCGGGCCTGTAGCTAGAACATTTTTCGAAAAATCACGGCTTCCTGTTTCGGAGTTACGACGTATTTGGCAGCTCGCGGATGTCACGAGGGATGGGGCGCTCAGTTTACAAGAATTCTACGTGGCTATGCATCTCGTCGTACTGAGGAGGAACCATGTGCCTCTGCCCGACGTTTTACCTCCGTCCTTGTCGATCTTGTTAGTCATGCAAACAGCAACAACTGCCGCGCCACAAATCCCATCGGCGACAACTGCTCAAAAATCACCACCGAACTCTGCGAATGCTCGCGAGAAGAATAAGGAATGGACAAAGTTTGTGGACTCGCCAACTGGAGCGAGCAGCTCCTCAGTTACTAGTCCAGGATTGCAGCTGGTGAATTTCGATTTCCAAAAGTCAGCTGTCGAACGCGATCCGAAGATTTTGCATCCAGTACCGTTGCGCTTAACGCCTGAAGCAGCGATTCTCGCTTCGGGTGCTAACGGCAGCAGTAGCAGCTGCACAACCTTGGGAGATGACGATCTGCAACATTCTGCAGCGTCATTAGTGCAACGACCTCTCGCAAAGAAACCATCTGCAGCTCCCGAAGACGCTGTCATCGTGACTCCTAAAAAGGAACCACCACCTCCACCACCACCCAGACCGTACAGAACACATGCGCGCAGTTCTAGTCTCGATCTTAATAAATTAGGTATATATATTATCCAAACTTCACGATACTACAATTACGAAACCCAAGTCTTATGCTACGAACTTGCATGTTTTGATAGGAAAAAATGGTCAAAGTTTTCTTGGAGCGCCGCCACTTGTACCACCTAGAATCTCTCCAGGAATTGTAAGTTTCTTATATACGATACAATTTTCTTATACCTTTGTAAAGGGTTGGATACTTTATTCTACATATCTTGTAAAAAATATAACTTTGTTTAAACGTTTTTTAAGTCAAGGATTATAATGATTCATTTTTGCTGCAGACTTCGCCTCGTAAATTAGTCGGTCAAAGGAGCGAGGGTGAAGGACAAAGAACGTTAAGCGAAAGTCAAGCTTTTGTCGCTGACTTCTCTCATTTTTCTCCTAAGAGTGAACTGCCTGAAAATACGTTATCATCTATAGAAAACACGGTACCACAATCTCAACAATTCACTGGAGTCTGTGGAGCATTTCATATTTATAGAAAACCGAGTCCAAGTAAGAAATTATCTCATTATTTATAAGTTTAAATATATGATTTTAAGTATTATAGATACTTCTAAAATAGATGCTTCAAACTATTTTTTCGATCGTATCTTTATTTTCCGTAATTACTATATGCTTAATAATTAAAATATAATCCTAACAGAACGAGATGGTGGCGAAGAAGAAAATAAGAACGAAGAAGATGAAAAGAGGTTAACCTTACAAGAATTAAGGGAAAAGAATGCGGAACTACGCTTAGTCTGCGAAGAACTGACACGTGAATTGGCTAGCGCACTCCAAGAACGTATAAATCTGCGTGCAAAACTCTTGCTCTTGACTTGATGTGATTACTATTCGCTATCATTCACTTGCTTGAAGTTATGAGGTATTATATCTCTTCGAATCATTGTAAACACATGTATTTAATACGTTATGCTAGTCTAGAATTCCTCTTTTCCCAATGAAGTATTCATTCACATTCATAACGATCAATATAGACAGACAGATGCGGCAGGAGACGCGATTTACAAAAAGAAATATTGCATAGATATTTTATACTTGAGATTGAAAGAATGACTATGACATAAATTATGTGAATCATGTATATACAAAACTGAGATTACGATCTCTAAATTGATATATAACAAACGAATTTGCTTTTGTCAAGTTTACCAGCTATTGTTCACATTTATATGTAAGTGTTAAAATATTCACTCTGGTTTAAAGCCTGCGTTATCGAATTCCTCCCTGTGATTTATTGACTTGTATACTATGTTTTGCATTGAAACTTCCTTTTTTATCGCTACGAATTTATATATATTTCCAGCATGCCGCGCATACAAATGCATCTATTATATCGTTCTATCCGAGTATAGATATTTGAAATTTCTGATTGTGATTTCTATGCGCAAAAACTTGTTAACTTTGTTAATTTTATAAGAATTATATATTTCATATTCTCTTCTCTGTAAACTGATGAATCTCTTCTAAAGAGCTTTGTTCGCCGTAAACGAAACTATGATATGTATTTTGAATCGTATTTGTAAAAACGAATAAGTTATATTTATTGTTTGCAACAAAATCGAATTGTATTTCGAATTGAATTTTCATACTATATAAAACTTTTACGAAGAAATGGCATTGATGGAGAAATGGAATAATCAGGATTGTTGTACGCGAAGTTATATTTTATTCCGTGATAACAAGTACCTATAAAACGCCTGTTAAACGTTGAAGATATATACGAGGAAAAAGTGGAATCTGCAGGAACAGAATACTTCAAAAATAAATTTATATAGATATATGATGCTCATAATCAGTTCACGTTGAATACATCGATTTTGATGTAGCAATTTTTTGAAATGATTATAGCAATTCCTATTATTATTGCTGTAAGTTGGTGCAAACTAAGGTCTGAGAAGAATATAGATCTATCAAAGCCACGTCCGCAAAAGTTATTCGATAAAAATCGAGTTAATATAATAATCGTCATTCATAATATCTAATAATAGCGATTACTCAATAAATATAGAATTACTTTATAGAAAAAATTACTATTATTTAAATAAAATTTTCTAACTTCCTACTCTTTAAAATTTTGGTCTAAAAAAAACTAAATTCTCGATTAAAATTCAATCTCCGTGGCTCAGCTCTATATAAATCTCAGCATATTATTTATAAATCGCTATTTTTATCCGATTAAATATATATTTATTCCTGATTAACGTTAAGGCCTTCATCACATTTTCCAAATTTTTACTTATTTTCCTATAAATAGCGGATAAATCAATTTGCCAAGCGACCGTCGTTACTATAAATAACTCTTTGTGCCATATAACGTGAAATTTTGAAATATATATATTGTAATCAGTAATCGTCTTGTCAAATATCACGAGACTTAGAAATAAAAGCTTGGAAAATCAACGAGTCATGCAACAAAGATTTTTTTGTAACTATATAATAGATACTGTGTAAAAATTATAGAAAATTAATACTTGTATCAGAATTGTTTCTGATTTATTGTCTGCAGTCCTGTAAAAAAGAAATGTAACAATGTAGAATACATATACAGAAGTGTCTGTCAAGTATGAATAAAAAAACTACTTTAGTTTCATAACAATTTTTATTGATGTCATTGTGTGAATGGAAAAATATTATGCAGAAGAAAAAAATTAGAAATATTTGTAACACATCTCTTGAATATGAATGAATGAATGATGCAAGTCGAGTATTGCAACTGCAATTCTATACAAGTACAGTAAAACTTCCGTGGTGATGTACTGTGATGGAATTCGATGAATAAAATCGCGATAATAAATTTAATACAACAGAATCAAAATATCATCCTATTGTCACACGCACTTCTGATTTTATGTAATGTTTACTTTGTGACACTGCAGGCTCTACTGTATAACACTCAAGTTAGAGTATTTATATTTGTTTTATTGGCAAATTGACTGTAATAATAACGAGATAAATATGTAGATTAGATATGAACACTATATATAGAGCCTGTCTTATTATTATATTTTAATCACCGACGAATAGATATTACTTTAGCTAAAATTCTATTAATTGTGTGAGAAAGAACGTACGTTCTAACATCTTTATATTTCGGATAGATTCCTGCTAGAAATTAATAATGACGCCGATTAATACAGTGTTTCTTACATCAGCTTTTTTTTACAATGATATGCTCCACACAGTGACTTCGAACGGCGAGGCCGGAGCTAGGAGGACACAGATGAACAATCGACTTCTGAATACTATTTAGTTGTCCTTGCTTTGCATAAACTTGATCAAGTCGATGACTCGGCTAGAATAACCGAACTCGTTGTCATACCACGAAATCAGCTTCACGAAGTTATCGTTTAGAGGAATGCCAGCCTTGGCATCGAAAATGCTGGAGTGGTTGTCACCAATGAAATCAGCCGAGACAACGTCGTCCTCAGTGTAGCCCAGAATACCCTTCAAAGGACCATCAGCAGCTTCCTTCACTTTGGCTTTGATAGCGTCGTAGGAGGCGGGCTTGCCGAGTCGGACCGTTAAGTCGACCACGGACACATTGTGCACGGGTACACGGAAGGCCATGCCAGTAAGCTTCCCATTGAGAGCGGGAATGACCTTGCCAACTGCCTTGGCAGCTCCAGTTGCAGCGGGAATAATATTTTGTGCTGCACCACGGCCGTCACGCCACAGCTGTTACCGGAAAAGCAAATAAATGTGTTATATAACAACAATCTCGAATGATCTCTCTTGCTAAACAGCTATGCATGATACACACCTTGCCAGAAGGTCCGTCAACGGTCTTTTGAGTGGCTGTAATCGCGTGTACAGTCGTCATGAGGCCCTCGACGATCTCAAAGTTGTCGTGGACCACCTTGGCGAGAGGTGCTAAGCAGTTTGTAGTGCACGAAGCGTTGGAGACGACCTTGAAGCTTGGATCGTAAGCCTCCAAGTTCACACCGACGACGAACATCGGCGCATCAGCTGACGGGGCGGAGATGATGACCTTCTTGGCGCCGCCTTCCAAGTGAGCCTGCAAATGCATTAAAAAAAAAACATTAAACTCAGATGTACTAGAGAATTCTACTGGAAGTATGAATTTTGTTTTGTTTCACGTACGGATGCTTTCTCGATGGTCGTGAACACGCCAGTCGATTCGACGATGTACTCAGCGCCAGCCTTCGCCCATGGGATTGCTTTCGGTTCGCGCTCGCTGAAGACGGCGATCTTGTTTCCGTTTACAACCAGACAGTTGCCTTCGGCTTTGACTTCTCCTTTGAACTTGCCGTGGGTGGAGTCATACTTGAACATGTATACCATGTAATCGAGACCGATGAAGGGGTCATTGATGGCGACGACCTGATTGACAGAGATCTCAGATTAGTAAAACAAATATGACCCGGCTAATTTTGTGGAACTATCTTCCTTTCATACCTGACCACCGCGCTCCAGGGAAGCTCTCAGCACGAGACGGCCGATACGACCAAATCCGTTAATTCCGATTTTGCTCATGTTGTCTTGATTGCAACTGGAAAATCGGGCAAGAACGTTAAAAGACACTACGCAACGACCATGCGCTCTGCGCGTGATTGCAATCAATGAAATCGGCGGAGTCATGTGAAATACATGCGAGAGAATTAGTCTCATTATTAAGAATTATTATAACAAATTATTGGGCGTTAGGTTAGAACTAAATAGATGTGTGACGTATGGTGATCCATCATTTGCTTCCCTGCCATTTTCAGAATATCAATCACGTTTCAAGGATACTTATAAATATCGCATATATGAAAGTTGATATTGATCGCGTAGACGCAACTGAAAACTACCAATGTTTTATCGTATCAGTCTATTAGTCTATTTTGTTTTATTAATCGAACATCATATACTGTAGAGAAAAAGTGTTTCGCATTATCAGTATTCTGTATTTAAGATTAGATTTATTAACGGACAAATTAAAAATCTTTCCCGTGTGTGTGTGTGTGTGTGTGTGTGTGTATTTTTTTTTATTTATTACAAAAAATACAATGGAGTTATAAATGTAATATAACGAAATTATCGGAGTTATAAACGTAACGAATTTATCAGAGAGATTCACAAATGCTTATATAATTTTGCTACGTGAACATAATTTAGTCTTGAATGTATCTTTGAGAATATAGTTGAGGTGAGAACAGTCTTGGCATAAGCCTCGACGGCACGATGTATGATTGGGCACCGGCGAATCTTATAGGTCAGGCAAGGTTAAAGGGGTGTGTCTCGAGTTCCTCGACATCCCGGCGTCCCTGAAAATGATCCTGACCTTGCGTGCGTGAGATTATCGGATCGGCGGCTCGATAAAACTGACGTAAATCGTCGCGCATCGTGATGCAAAATCATGCAATTGCATTCCTGACGTATGTAATTTACATCAAGGGAAATCTATTCGGACAACTTTGACTAAGCTTCAATTAACTAAATAATCGATGTCTGCAGTATTTAACAAAGATTGAGTTACTACTTTTTCATCTTGGTACATGGAAGAAAGATTAGATTAGAGAATAAACAAAAATTCTGCTATAAAAATTATCCAATTGAGTTAATCGAAATTTAATCAAAATTATCTTTATTATTCAAATGCATAAAAGTTGAAAATTACGATATTTATAATTTTGCGCAATCAAATTTTTTATAATAAAACCTATTTAATGTTGCAATTAGATTTTATTCGTATTTGAGAGAAATTACGATGGTTTGATATTTATTTATATAATTAAAAACAAACCGATATTTCTGTCACAGATATTAGTTTAAAAACTTCTTTTTTATAGCAAGAGGTGCCAAATTTTATTCTCAAATAATTATATTATTACATATTATTATTTGAGATGCAAAATCACGTTTATTATACACTTAAAACAATGATTCCTAATAAGCTTCTGAAATATAAGTAACTGATTAAAATATATGCCTGAAGATAGAAGTATAGCTGGACTTAATAAATAATAAGAAACTACCAAATCGTATGAAATAAATTCTATATAATACCTATTTAATAGTTCAACAGTTAAAATGGAAAATTTTTAATCAAAATCGTATAAAATCAATGATATAGTAATGCAATACATTTAGTGCACATAACGATAATTAATTTTATAGGATTAATGCTTGTTAATTGTGGATTTTCATCAATGTAGATCAACTTTAACCTCAGTTATCTTATACACTCTTCGTTTTTTCTAATCTAATTCTTAAATTAAAACTAGAAAAAGAAAGTTGAACCGATATTAAAGTTAATCCTACATTAGTGGAAGCAGATAGAAGGATGATATTAACAGTTCAATCTTATACTTATATCATAAATAATTTATATATCTTAAATTGCATTGATTCCACTCAATCAATGACTGAATAATTTCTTGAGATTATGTTTAAGACTATCTTAAATATAAGCTCAAATGCCATTCCAACAATACTCTGTTAAAGTATGCCTCCTAATCGTACGCGTGATGTCTTTTATTACATTGTAATCAGACGTTAGTATAACCGTGTAATTGTTGAGCGATAATATTGATCGCGTGAGAGCCGTCTAACGATCGTCATCCGCGTCATCAAATGAAGGGATTCTGTCGAATTTCAACGCGAATATCATGGACGGTAAGAAAAAGATATCACACCATCCGGTTACATCATCTCCTCGACTTTGTCACATCGCGTTTCTCGAAGGCTTTTTTGCAGAAATACAGTCGAAACATTCTGCAGTTGTCGCGACAGCAAATACTGGTCCAATCGACGTCACGAGAAATGGCCGGTGCAACTTAGGCCGTGGGATGGCAGACGCGATTTGCGGTTACGTGTCACACGTATGTTCGGGCAAAAAATGACGGGCGAACGAACGATTAGCAACGGATGATGATAATGGATTCACTAGGAGTAGGAGGAGAAAGAAAGAGATAAAACGGGAGTATAATTCAAGTAGAAAAGATACTTACTGCGTACCGAAAAACCAGTTCCACTCGATCCGGCTACTAACGAAGTAGTGTCATTTGAAGGGCACGGGTGCGATAATATAAAAAACGGTGCTTCGTGTCTAGTCGCCGACGCTCGGAAGCCCACGTGACTTGATTATCGATTGTCGACATGTTGACGCGCCGCGAAGTTCAACTGGATACTATGTCGGTATCGTCGATATCAAGAAGTTTTTAATAATAGTTTTTTAACTTTTTCGATTCTTTCAGATCTATTTGCCGCTGAATCTATTTAATATTAATGCGATAGATATCGACAATTAAGTGTTATGCCTGTTTTTTAATATAAATTAATTTTAATCTCGATTCAACTTACTCTTCATCTTTTTCTAATTAATCTAATTGTTAGACATTGATAAAAATGAGCAGAAGTTGTTGTTATTTATCACGTTAATGATAAATAGAGTCCCTTCAGTGGCAAATAGACCTGGAAAAAATAGATTAAAATTAAACTACAATTGGTAGAAACGCGAGCAATGAAACTCAAAACATATATATACATATATATTCATGCATCTTTTTTTAATAATAAATCTTTTCGGACCAGAAGATTTATAAAAATTAGTACTAGATTTCGGAGTAGAATTCTAATACTAATGTTTATTTTACTATAATAATTAAAATTATTTTTATTTATAATTTATTTTTATAATTTCATATTTGTGTGTTTATAGTATGTCTATGTCTTTATATGATATGTCTATATTTTATACACATACATTATATATATTAAATACATGTATTATTTATTTTAAAATATAAATAATATTTATTTGGTATATATAAATATTTAAATAAACAAATGTAGCAATTAAATTATAAATAATAAAATTTCAAAGTAAATTGTAAAGGATATTGTATATATGTATATTACGACAAGATGTTGTAAAATTTGTTTATTGTTTAAATTTGGTAATTTTTCTTTCTAATATTATAGTAATATAGTTGCACAAATTATAAGATGTGTTTATTCGAGAATTGAAAATGGAATATAATTGCATCAATTGCGTGTATTATAATTTTAATTTTGATAAATTGTTCCTATTCCTAATCATCACCATGCTCAAGAATTTGTCCTATTACAGGAATATTGTCGAAATCGGCATTACACATGTATTGAACCAGATCGGCTATACGATACGCGTAACCATATTCGTTGTCATACCTGAGGAAAGGATTATTTAAGGGGTTTCAATCGAAGAAATATCGCATTTTTTACTTGTAAATATATATTATATATCAGGAGTAGATTGCATATTTAAGATATCATAAATTATGTCGGAATTTATAAATTGAGTTAACGAAGTCGACGGCGTTATTACCAAGCAACGATCTTGATGAAAGTACTAGTCTGCGGAATGCCTGCCTTAGCATCGAACACGCAAGAATAAGTCGTATGGTTGAAGTCCGACGACACGCAATCGTCCTCCGTGTATCCCAGCACGTCTTTCAGTTGCCCCTCGGAAGCTTCTCTCATCGCCTCTTTCACTTCTTCATATGTCGCCGGTTTATTAACCCTGAAGCGACGTCGCAAATATCAAAAACTCTTCCAGTGACACATACAAAACTCGAATTTTATATCAAATATAGTTTAATTTCGATCAAATATAAATTGCGTCAATGAAATTATATATAATTGCCTCATGCAAAACCGAGCGTGATTTCTTCCCTGGTAAAAAAAGTTGATAGAGAAAAATCCTGTCGCTTTGAATATGAAATCTGGTTTGTGAATTCAGTAATTTGCATCAAATCTTATAGGAATTTTATACAAATCTTATAGAACCGATAAAATACGATAGGATTCATTAGGATTCATATCCGACCAATCGTGATGCTCGTGAGGTCGACGCTAGAAAATGATATAAACTTATAGAAAACGATCCAAATAGATAGAAATCCTATTGTTCTCAATCATTCTCTATCAACTTTTTTTTTACCAGGGTTACGTTAGCAATTGGAGTATCAAATACGTCGTCGCTGGATTTTACAGGCCAGTCGGCCGGTAAACTCAGTTCACATCCGCTAATTACCTGAATGTCATATCGCATAATGAAACGTTGGGAATCGGTACCCTGAACGCTATGGCTGAGATCTTGCCTTTCAACTCGGGAATAATTTTGGCTAATGACTTAGCCGCGCCGGTTGCGGTCGGAATAATATTCTGGAGAGCGCCCCTACCGTCCCTCCATAATGCCGTAGGTCGATGCTGCGATAAAATATAATTATTCAAAGCATGAAACTTTGATAATGATTATTTACAGGCTCTTTAAACCGTGATGCTGCGTAAGCGTGAATAAATAATTAAAAAGAACATGGATATGTTCTATCGTGTTAGGTATGTAATTACACAGGAAGAATAGTTTTGCTGAATCTAAAAATTTAGCTAAATACAGATTTGAAAATAACTTTGTTTGGATCCGAATAATTATATAAAACGTTCAAATGATTGCTGTAATGTCAAAACTTTTTGTAGCTTTGTTTATTATGTTTGAGATTTCTAGATAATTATCTTTATATCCAATTTTTATTTTCAGATCTGTATTTAGATAAATTTTTAGATATTTCAGTAAAATTATTCTTTTTGTGTAAACAATCGAAAAAAAGCATACATTTATCGTTATATTTATTTTTCATAATTCGAATTAAATGAAAAAAGAAAATGTAAAAGAGGAGAACTTATTTTTTAAATAGTAGTCATTAATAAAAAAGACAAGTCGTTATTAACCTTCTCTATCGGACCATCCACGGTATTTTGGTATGCTGTCATTGCATGTATGCTGGTTATCATCGCCTCGAGAACTTCAAAGTTGTTATGCATGATTTTGACAATTGGAGCTGCGCAGTTTGTAGTGCAGGATGTCGCAGAAATGACACTGTCTCTCTTGGGACTGTAACAAGTGTGATTGACCCCGAAAACGAGCATTGGTGCATCGACCGACGGTGCAGTGATAATAACTTTTTTAGCGCCGCCATCGATGTGCAACTGCATAATTGTATTATTTTTATTTTTAATGCAAATATATTAAATTGATATAATTGTACGATATCGGATGCTACTAAAAGAACTAGAATAATATAAAAAGATTTATTTCAGTCCAATATAATGTGATAAATATATTAATATGTAACTGTTTAAAAGAAAGGTCAACATTTTTTCTTTTATTTCTAAATTTCTGGCAAATCAATGGTTTTCCAGTTTCCACATTTAATATGGATCCTGTTGCAATAAAAAATTAAAATCTTACACTTGCTTTCTCTAGAGTTGTGAATGCTCCGCTAGCTTCTATTACGTATGTCACTCCCTTATTCTTCCAAGGTATTTTCCACGGTTGCTTTTCTTGCGACGTAGCTATTCTTGTCTCTCATTGAATAACAATGTTTCATGATATTTTACAAAGAAATATAATATTTATATTATATATTTTTAAAAATTAAATTAAATAAAAAATAAAGAGACTAAAATTTAATGAAATATAAAAATTTCTCTGACAATTACAAGAGTTACATGCTTTGTATTTTATATTTCATAAAGATTATTAAGTTCTCTGTAATATTTATAAAATACAGATTATAAATTAAAATAAAATTCAGTATACCTTTCTGATTTAATTTTTTAAGTATAGTGCAATTACAATTGTATTTACCACTAACTATAATAAACTCATTGTCGCACTCCAAAGGTAAAGGATATGACCCATGGGTAGAGTCATGTTTAAAAAGATATATCATATATTCAGTTGTAAGAAATGGATCGTTGATTAATTTTACCTGTGATATATATTATTATATTATTATTTAATTTTTAATCAATAATACATTAATTGTACTTGTACTTTTCACATAATGAAAAACTTGCTTCAATATTTTTTTCAAGGCAAGCACGAAGGCACATTCTCCCTATTCTTCCAAATCCATTAATTCCTACAATTGCCATAATTTTATATCTATTTTAGTCTAATACATTATTAAAGAAAAAGAAGAACAAGATTTAAGAATTTTTAATGACATTTTGTCAAATTTTAAATAGTGTGAAGGTTATCACAAAACTTAAATACAACGATATTCACTTTTCAAGTTTCTGTTCCAGGAAAAAAGTTACATGATCGAGCTAATGAAAGTTAGAGATACTATAATAAAATTTAGGGGGCCCGCAAACACTTCCCATAACAGTAATCTTAAGACGTACCGTTAGATTTAACGAATCAGAGCTGAAAGTTTTTGAAAATTCTTGTCTCTGATTGACATAATGTACCGTTGGAACATCAAAAATATATCAGACACGCAAATAATTACCAATTACGTTTAAAGAATTAAACTAGTAATGCCACAAATCAAATGCGGAATGTATAACGATACCCATTTGTCAAAATTATGTAAAATATGAATAATTGAATAAACCGTGAATATTTTTCATACGCAATAATTGGGTTCTAAACGGCGCGCGACGAACAGCGAGGAGTGGGGAGAAGGCTCGCTCCCCCTCGCTTTTCGCCGCGCGGCGCTTTTTTTTGTGATTGACTACGTCATCACTTCGGCATTCGCTCGGCGATTTCGGAGACGGACGGACGTGCTGTACGAGTCGCTCTGGATGTTGCATTAATCCACGACAAACGATTGAAACGATATATCTACGAACGCTAATTGATGAATCAAGTAGTAAGGTTGCTCAAAAGTAACGCTTTTATCTTTTTTATTAAAAATATATATTTTAAATACAACCGAGCTCCGTATATCAATATATATTAATAATTTAACTTTATATTATGTGAAATTCCGATTAGTATTTCGTCAGTTATAGCGTTTTTCATTGGCAGAACTAGTGCGCACTAAGTGCACTTTAAAGCCGTTGTACAAAAATCGACGTAAAGATATATGTTTAATAAAAATATATAAACGAATTAAACTGTGAAATATTCGATACATTTTATTGTGCTATCTGATAAAATAAATTTTGAGCATTTGATCAATTCAGATATCTCACTTTTATATTTAGATTAGAATAGTGTACAACAGCTTTAATGTGAACTGAGTGCGCACTAGTTTTGCCAATGAAAAACG